AATCAAAGTGCTGCTACAGTTCAATCACCACTCACTGCAAATTCTAGGTATGCAAGCACAGTTAGCAAAACTACCCTATTCCGGGAGACCATCTTGGTTATGAAAATCTTGAGATGAATGAGAGCATCTCATGCAACCCATTGATGTTGCTCAATGATGCTACCATGGTCTAAATATTAAATACTAATTAATCTATGCTCATCCATAATTATCACGAGATATTACATCAATGTCCTTCAGGTACTCTTTGTTGATCTCTCAGGACTCGCCTGTTTTCTTGGGATTTTTGCTCTTACTTTCTGTAACTGCTGCTTCCTACATCAGACTAGAGGTTTTGATTATACTTTGTATAGCGCTCAGTTGTGCCTATGTCAGAGCATATCATACCACTCCAGGCTTCTGAAGCATCAAAGGCTGGCTCTTCATATAAGGAGAGTGTGGTGCAAATACCTCACTGTGGAATACGTTCTAAATATATAAATACCACAGTAAAGTCAACAATATGCACAAAATTGTACAGGTTGGACTGTCATGGTCCAACACTCTCGGGACCTGACCAGTCCTAGATAAGGAAGTTTTCCAGACTGGGGGAGGTCTGGGAATGGGGAGTGCCAGCGTTCCCATTGAGCTCCTCTCTCCTGACACCTAGCACCACTGCCCGTAGCCCCGTAACTGTGTCGGCCCTGCAGGCTCTGTGGCCCCACAAGCTCCGGCAGCCCCTTAAGAGGTAGTGCAATGTTTCTAAGATTGGGGTGCTTGTGCATTCTCTCTCTCTCTCACACACACATAATTCCAACCCCCATAAACTATCTCTGCAGAGTTGGGGAGAGGAGAGACAGATCAGGACAGCTTTCCCTGTCTTAAAGAGACAGCACATGGCTTCTCAAACTTACTCAACAGCCACCAGCACACACACATTCTTTGTCACTGTCACACACACCCAGTCTGTGTCATGCTGTCTCTGTGTGTGCGGGCACACAGTCACTGTCTCACACTAAGGATGTTAAATTTTGATTAGTTGATTAATCTAATAGTCAAAGTAATTTGCATCAACTATTTGATAAGTTGAAAAAGGCCCCTCCACCTTTGAAATGCAGCAAGAGCCTGCTGGCTCTGGTTACATTTCAAAGATGGAAGCACTGCAGGGAGCTCAAACAGTCTCCCTGCTCCCTGCTTTTGAAATGTACAAGAGCCCTCCCAGAGCTCTTATACATTTCAAAAGCAAAGCACTGCAGGAACGTGAGGCCAGCAGGGGACTGAGTCCCCTGCTCCTGAAGCTTTGCTTTTCAAATGTATAAGAGCCCCTAGCTTGCCCCAGGTTCTCCACAGTGCTTCTGCTTTTGAAATGTAGCAAGGGCAAAGCAGAAGTGCCACCAGTTCCCCGCTGTGCCCCTGTATCTTATTCCCACAGAGAAGGTGCTGAAGGGAACCAGCTTTTAAGCTGGCTCCCCCCAGCATCAGATCTTGCTCCTCCCTGGGCTGCCTCTCTGACAGATAGTTAACTAGTTGTCTAGTCGCTTACATCCCTACCTCACATACTACTGCACACACTCTCCCAGTCTCTTTGCCACATTCTCTTAATCTCTGTGCCACACACACTCAATCTGTGTCACTAAATCTGTTTCACACACAAAGTGTCTTTCTTTCACTCTCACACAATCTCTTTCTCTGTAGCACTCATCCCTGCACTAAGGGCTTGCCTTCACTCCAAATTTAATCTGATTTATAACTCAAGTACAGCCACCAACTACACACAAAATCCCTTACCTGGAATGTGGTTGTGCTTTTTACTTGAATTGTCTGGCCTAGCAGGAGATATAAGCTAAAGCCTATGTTATCTAGCAAAACTACTCTACAGTGTGGATTCAGGCTAGCGCCACTAACTGCTGGTAGTCCTCCAATGCCTTCCCAAAACTCCCTCTGGATACCAGAAAAGATGGATAAGTTCTCCCACAAATCACTGAGAAAGAATTCACAGAGTGGCTCAACTTGCTGCAGTGCAAAGAGCTATGGGATGTACCCCTAGAAGTGTTAGGTGCCATACACATGGGAGTGCAGCATCCTTTGAGTGTTATATCACAGTATGGTTTCTTTACTTCAAGCTAAGATAACTCAAGAAATAACTCAAGTGAAGATAACTTGAGTTAATGCTGAAGTGAAGATACCCCCTACCTGTATGTTCCTCATTTTCTGTGTACCCAACTTGAGACTCTTGATTTGATTTGCAGAAGTGCTGTGCACTCATGGCTGCAAACTGAAGTCAGTGGGAATAGAGCAATAAATATACCAACTGCTATATAAAGCTAAGTACACTGAAAAAAATTAGTTTGTAATCCTGTCAGACTGAGCACCTTAAAGTAAAAAATGTTCACTGATTTCCTCTCTATGTACTTATCTGTAAAATGGGAATAACAAAAGCCCCTCACGTAACACCAATGTTGTTAAAACAAGTTAATTAATGTTTGTAAAGCACTCTGATATAGTGTTGAGCACATGGAACAGCCCAGGAGGAATTTAATAATTGCATTCAGTGCAGGCATTGAATTATGTGCAATAAATAATACAATAATGTACTGAACAATGAAGATAAAAAAATATTGAATAGCTGCTGATTTAATGTGCACAGAATGAGGCAGGGATCCTGGGAAAAAGAGAGCATGTAGTTAAAAACTATCGCATCTCTTGGGAGAAAGAGTTTGGGGGAAGGGATGCAATGTGGGAGCAGGGCAGGAAGAGTCAGAGCTTGGGGGAAGGGGTGGAGTAGTGTGGGGCTGAGCAGAGTCCAGAAGAGACCGAAGGGGAAAGGGGCATGAGAGAGAGGGGAGAGTGTCCCCGCACTCCCCTAGGAATGGCACTGCCTGTGTAGCTAATTTGTTGAATCAAATTCTTGTTCTCAAATGACCAATATTATAATCTTTCTACTTGTGCTAACTCAGAAAATAAGAGCTGGAAAATTGTTGGGGATTGGCAACAGTAATGTTACAAGGCTCACCATAAATACAAAGTAACACGTTCAATTATAAACTATAGCAACTGATTAAAGAAGCTACCATAGTGTTTGAGGAATCTCAAGACATAAAGTTAGTAGCATATTGACAAGAAGGCAATTAATAACAATGATCTGAGGGTCTAACTCTGCTCTCAATGGCAAGATGACAGTGCAAACAGTGTCAAACTTTTTCAAGGTATTTCTTTCTCTACTTAACTAATTTTCTGTACAAGTAGTTTCCATTTTACTAACAAGTTAAAAATAATCACTCATTTTGGGACTTAATTCTTCACAGAAAATCAAGATAGGGAAATAGTTGCATGACCAGAACTTTGAACAGTGCCATTAAAGTACAGTTGTAGTGAAGAAATCATTACAGGCAGTCCCCGAGTTACGTGGATCCGACTTATGTAGACCAGGGACACCCGGAGCAAAGCCTTGGAGGCGCGGGACCCCGCCGCCTCTGCGGCTTTGCTCCGGGTGTCCCTGGTCTGCTGGGGACCCCTCCCAGTAGACCAGGGACACCCGGAGCAAAGCCTTGGAGGCGCGGGACCCCGCCGCCTCTGCGGCTTTGCTCCGGGTGTCCCTGGTCTGCTGGGGACCCCTCCCAGTAGACCAGGGACACCCGGAGCAAAGCCTTGGAGGCGCGGGACCCCGCCGCCTCTGCGGCTTTGCTCCGGGTGTCCCTGGTCTGCTGGGGACCCCTCCCAGTAGACCAGGGACACCCGGAGCAAAGCCTTGGAGGCGCGGGACCCCGCCGCCTCTGCGGCTTTGCTCCGGGTGTCCCTGGTCTGCTGGGGACCCCTCCCAGTAGACCAGGGACACCCGGAGCAAAGCCTTGGAGGCGCGGGACCCCGCCGCCTCTGCGGCTTTGCTCCGGGTGTCCCTGGTCTGCTGGGGACCCCTCCCAGTAGACCAGGGACACCCGGAGCAAAGCCTTGGAGGCGCGGGACCCCGCCGCCTCTGCGGCTTTGCTCCGGGTGTCCCTGGTCTGCTGGGGACCCCTCCCAGTAGACCAGGGACACCCGGAGCAAAGCCTTGGAGGCGCGGGACCCCGCCGCCTCTGCGGCTTTGCTCCGGGTGTCCCTGGTCTGCTGGGGACCCCTCCCAGTAGACCAGGGACACCCGGAGCAAAGCCTTGGAGGCGCGGGACCCCGCCGCCTCTGCGGCTTTGCTCCGGGTGTCCCTGGTCTGCTGGGGACCCCTCCCAGTAGACCAGGGACACCCGGAGCAAAGCCTTGGAGGCGCGGGACCCCGCCGCCTCTGCGGCTTTGCTCCGGGTGTCCCTGGTCTGCTGGGGACCCCTCCCAGTAGACCAGGGACACCCGGAGCAAAGCCTTGGAGGCGCGGGACCCCGCCGCCTCTGCGGCTTTGCTCCGGGTGTCCCTGGTCTGCTGGGGACCCCTCCCAGTAGACCAGGGACACCCGGAGCAAAGCCTTGGAGGCGCGGGACCCCGCCGCCTCTGCGGCTTTGCTCCGGGTGTCCCTGGTCTGCTGGGGACCCCTCCCAGTAGACCAGGGACACCCGGAGCAAAGCCTTGGAGGCGCGGGACCCCGCCGCCTCTGCGGCTTTGCTCCGGGTGTCCCTGGTCTGCTGGGGACCCCTCCCAGTAGACCAGGGACACCCGGAGCAGCTTTTCTCGCCCCGGAGGACGCGGTGGCGGGACCACTGCGCGTCTGGGGGGTCCCGCCGCCCGCGAGTTCCAGGGCGAGAAAAGCCCCGTTCGTAAGTGCGGATCCGACATAAGTCGGATCCACGTAACTCGGGGACTGCCTGTACATTGATTTACAAACCTATTACATTATTAGGTATATCATTTATGCTGTTATTTATTTGGCATGCTGATGGCTTACTTGAAGCAGCTAAAAAAAAGTTATATTTTCATGTTATTTATAACATTTTCAAACTAATATTTCCTTTATCTCTTTTTGTAATCAAACAAAATATTTTAAACAATCATACACTGTTTAAATGTGACATTAAAAATTTCAAATGTTATTTTATTCTTACCTCGGAACTATAATCATCTGCTGTAGTAGAAATTTCACTGTCTGGCTAAAATAGGAGAAAAATAAAAATAGTTACAATGGTAAGCAACTACAAAACATTAAACATAATTTCTATCTAATTTTGTGCATTTTAACAGTAGCTAAAGCCACCTGATGAAGTATATATAGTTACAATACTCCTGTTATTCATTAAAATCTAAAAAACCCACTCCTAGTTTTCTAAGGCCTTGTCTATATATATAGTTTTATCAGCAAATGCTCCTAGTGGAGATTAAGAATATAAAATCCCATTTAATTGGTTAACTGGTTAAACATGATGTTAAATCAGTTAACTGCTTACAGGGTGTGTGTGGGAGCGGTTTCCAGGCTGCAGCGCCTCTGCCTCTCCACCTCCCTGTTCACATGCAAAGCTGAGCAGCCCCTGCCTGCAACACACCTGGGCCTCCCATGGACAGGGGCTGCTCTGGATGTCAGGAGAGGCCCCTGTCTGTGATAGTCCCAGACCTGCTGTAGGTAGGGGCTGCTCCAGGTGACCAGGGCAGCCCCTGCATGAGATACGACCAGGCCTGCTTCAGACATAGCCTGCTTCAGTCCAACGTGCTCAGGCTCGTCACAGATAGTGGCTGCTCTAGACGGCTGCTCCAGTCCCCTCCAATTAACCAGAAAACTATAAGCATCATACTTTAAGGGTGATGCTTACTAGATAACTTTTCACATCCCTAGTGGAGATGCAGGTTACATAGGCAAAAGAGTGATTTTGCTAATATAGCCAATATCAGTCTCCTTGCAAAAAATAAGCTAACAGGCAGAAGTGATATTACTATACATGGAAATGTTTGTAATCTTGCCCTGCCCTCAGATATGATTATGCAAAGCAGTGAACAACTTTCATTTCCACTGAAGTTAATTGTTTACACTTAAGGTCAAGTACCTAGGCTCTTATCCAGCAATCAGATCCACATGCATTCAAACAATTACAGAAATAAGGCCTCGGTTCTAAAATATGTCCAATGAATGATCTGATTTATTACCAGATGTGGTTATTAATTCAATACAAAGCATCAGTTTAAGTTTCTATCTAAAGAGTTATTTGTGTAACAAAACTTCAGAGGTATTCACATGAAACCAATGCATGGCCTGTTAAAAAATATTACTCAACTTTCCCAAAAGCTAAATGATGAAAGGGTATACTTTAAAACTTAATTCAATTCCGACAAAAATGGTGGAAGGTATATATCTTGGCACATATCCAACATTCTTAAGTCAATTAGAGTCTTTCCATTTATTTAAGTCAATTAGGGTATGTCTACACTACCCCGCTAGTTCGAACTAGGGGGGTAATGTAGGCATACCGCACTTGCAAATGAAGCCCGGGATTTGAATTTCCCGGGCTTCATTTGCATAAGCGGGGAGCCGCCATTTTAAAAACCCCGCTGGTTCGAACCCCGTTCCACGAGGAGTAACGGTAGTTCGAACTAGGAAGCCTAGTTCGAACTACCTAGTTCGTGCCCCGTGTAGCCGCGCTGCACGGGGTTCGAACCAGTGGGGTTTTAAAAATGGCAGC